ATTTTTATAATTATGGACTACTCCATAGGTAATATACTAATATTGATGTTCGAATATGTTAAATTAGGATATAATCTCTATTGAGTCAACTATGCGATATTATTAACCTAATCATATCTTCAATGGCAGTGTCAAATGTCAATTGTAAAATTCTTGTATACAGTTATACAATGGTTAATGGTACTCAAATTGTAATTGCAAGCAGGCTTGGATGACATATCCATGATAAATTTTCAAAATAACTCCAACCGCTAATGTTGCCTTCACCCAATATAATGTTTGTTTTGCTTAGGCAAAACAAGGGAGCCTCTTCCAAGAAATTACTTGTATAAAAGAAGTTGTTCACTTAAAGAAAAGATAATAAATATATGAATAAATAAATAATTTAGTGATATATTATTAGTTATTACGAAATCATTGTTGATTTGGAGAAGATACCGGGATGTTAATATGTAATACTAAATATTATACGTGCTTAGTTGCAACCTAATTGAATTCATCCAAAATCTAGTATACGAGTAATAACGTTGTTATTTTTATTGGTGACGGTGTTCAATAGCAAATTTACCAATTTTTCTCCGTTTATAATACTGATTTATATATATGCTTTTATAGCTTTGTCATTTTTAATAAAATATATACTACAAATTAAATTATGTTTATTAAGGAGATAAACTTGTTTATTCTCCACAAGATTATACTAGCCTTGTGCATGTTATTTCACTTCATCTTGTAATAAGTACTTCGTATAATGCTTCCTCCAATCTTACAAGATGAAGTGGAATAAAATGCATGGGGCTAGTGTAATCTTGTCCTCGGATTATATCTTTGGCGGTAGCATAACTAATGTGTAAGTAAGCCAAAAAAAAAAAAAAGAACAACAATAAATAGAGGGAAAAATACACTTTAATAATCCCAACTTTGCTCAATTTACTTTAAATAATCCCAACTTTCGATTATTCTGCAATGATCACAACTTTCATATATATTTTCTTTTTTCAATCCGGATTACCGGTTACCTGAAGAAAGGGTTGATATTTAAAAAAAAAAAAAAAAAAAACTATATGTCACATGTCGCTTTCTAATTGGTTCAGTAAATAAATTTAAATTAATAAAATTAAAAATAAAAATAAAAAAAAAAACCCAAAGACCACCAGCCATCCAACGTCGGTGGCCGCACTTCGCCAACCGGCAAGATCCACAGCCAAGCCATCGCCAACGAAACCTTGCCACCACAAACCCCAGCCACCACAAACTCCCACCACCCACGAATCCCGACCACCCACGAAATGCCGATCTCTTTCACGAAACCCACCAACCCCGAAATCCAGACTAACCCACGAAACCCAAACCACCCACAAACTCCGATCTCCCACGAACCCCGACCACCCACAAAACCCAAACCACTTTTTCGACCTACCGGAAACCATCCCCTCACCGAAAACCCTCTCGTCACTCCGCTTGATTGCGATTTCTGACGATTATAGGAGAGAGAAAGGGTTGCATTTTTGTGTTTCGGGGATGGGGGAAGTGATTTCAAGGGTCAAGGTTGGTTTTACAGGTGGTTTCGGGGGTTGGGGGAGGGGATAGGGACGGTTTCAGGGATATGGGCTTTGGTTATGGTGGTTTTGGGTTTTATGGGCGGAGGTTTCGACGCTAGAGTTTTGGCTATGGCTGGTTTAGGGGGTGGGGAGAGGAAGAGCCGAAGAGGGGGCCGGTTTTGCGGGGTTAAGGCAGTTTCTGGGGAGTTTTTGGTGGCTAGGTCAAGGGAGGCGCTGGTTCGAGCTGAGGTTGGTTGTGGATGGAAGTGGCCACCGCCAGTGGTTGTGGGCTGGTGGTGGCTGGTTTTAATTTGTTTTTTTTCTTTTTTTTTTATTGATTTTTCTTTAATTTTTTTTTTGGACCACTTACGGCTTAACACGTGTCAAGTGGCCTAGAATATTAGGTCATTCACTTTTTTGACCGGTTTGGGACTGAAGAAAGAAAACACATATGAAAGTTAGGATCATTGCGAATAATCGAAAGTTGAGATTATTTAAAGTAAATTGAGAAAAATTGGGATTTATTAAAGTGTATTTTTCCTAAATAGAGGGAGTATATTATGCAATAGTTATATGATTATTGTTCTTATTAATTGGAGGACTTTAGTAACTAGACACAACAAAATATTTGATGAATAATTTTTTTTTATATATATAATAAATGGTTACAATGAGTATAAGTTAAATTATTGACATACATTTTTTTTAATTATTGAAATATTAGGTATATGTTGTAGAAAAACATTAAAAAAAGGAGCGTATAAAATAAATTACGGAAAATAATACGAGTAATAAAAAAAGGAACAAAAATGAGTATAAGAGATGGAATGAATTATTTTCCACAAATGTTTGTTTTCTTCACCTTATTTTCATTTATCTAATTTTAGGAAAAATAAGCTTAGGTAAGTTCAAAATAAATAAGTTTTCACATGTTCATATATTTCATTTAAGGCTAAGCTACCTATGTTTATTAGTTTGCAACTAAAATACATTCTTATAAGGTCTAATAGTTTTGATAATTTTGAATAAGTTCAAATACTATAATAGTGAAATGATTATTTGGAAACGAAGGAAGTAGATGATATTGCAAGTTTTGCAACAAGAGTTAAGGTGGATTGGGCTATATATTTCTTCAATGATTTTTTTTCTTAAACATATTTATTCAATAATTTAATTATACATCATCTGATCTATTTTTTATTAGTCGCAAGGTATGTGACTTTATTTTGTAAATTAAATGTTATTTGACCATGAGTGACCCTTAAATTTTTTACGTTAATTATGTTTGAGACTCTTGAAAAATTGTTGGTAATGAAAATGCGCAATGCATTTGGCTACAAATAAGAAAATCCCAAAATTCTATTATTCTTGCAACATTCATTGAGATGATGAATCATCAATTTTTGAGTATTTAAATTAAACAATGAGCAAAAATTATAATTATTTCAAGGTAAAGTATTGTGTAGAACGAACTAACGATAATGTTCGCCCACATAAATTATAATCACCTTTGACAACACCATCACTTGGCGCTAACTCGACCTATCCTACCTTTCTCCTCCTCGATCATTCATATACCTCCGAAGGGTCGTTTATGGCGCATCGTTATCTGAAAAAAGGTAACACTGCCACTGAAAATCCCATCATTTTAACCTGACTCGTCGGAGAATTAACCGTCATTTTAACCTAATATCTTACGGTTTGACTCACTTACTATTCCCTTTCTGATAAAATTTACAATTATCAACTTTTTAAAAAAATTTACTTATACATAGCCAAAGTTATTAATGGTCAAAGATGTTCATTGGAGACCATACAAATACAAAGTGAGTGATACTTGTAGGAACGGAGGGAGTATGTTAATATTAGATACTCCATATTGAAATGTTACAAATTCTTAAATAGACCTGGTTCACACTAATTTATTGCGGATCACTAACATTAGAGAAACTATGATTGTTTTATTAATAAAAAAAAGGGGTCACTATAATTAAAAAAAAGGTCACTCTTTTGAAATAAAAGTTATTTTGGTAATGTATAGGCCTAAGTGGTTAGTTTTTTTAATGAAATATTTTACATACTGATCAATATGAATAATAAAGACCATTATGATAAAATTAGGGTAATAGCATCGTATTTCAAGTACACAATATTAATAAACGTTGTAGTAGTTTTAATAAAGGTTACCCCGTTAAAAATCAGGTTACTATGTTAAAAATAAGGTTACTGTGTTAAAAATAAGGGTCACTATGTTCAATATAATGTCAGCTGCGTGTTAAAAATAAGCCTTTTTGTTGAAATGTTGATATCACACTATCAGATACAATGAAGCACGGAAACTCTTAATTTTAGCCACGTATCGTTTCCGAAACCTCTTACGTTTCGAAACCCGTTTCGAAACGGCTCATGGAGTTTCCTTGTTTTGTGAAGCGTCTCTCATAATTTAACAATTCGAAAACCTGTGGGAAACTTAATTAAGGATATAAATAAGCGTTTCCCCTTTAATAGAAAGCAATTAAACCCTTATATTCACAAATTACGAGCAGTTAAGCAGCATAGTTATTTGAGTTGTTTCTATAATTGTCGTTTCCATGCTTTGAAGATCCATGTTTGCTGCCATCACCGCTAGCTAGAACAAAGTCGATCTAACTACCACTGAACGATTTCACTAATTTGCTGTTTTTCTTGTATTTAATTTGGAAAAAAAGGAGTTCTTGCAATTTACAGAACGAAGTATTTGTTTGTTTTTATTTTTTTGCAAGTTTATTTGGTATTTTATTCTGATTAAATGTATTTATTTATGTATTTTTAATGTGTCCCCGTTTCCCATAATTTTAAAATTTTCGTTTCCCCGATTCCCCGTTTCACCGTCTCCGTTTCCGTTTTCCGTTTCCGTGCAACCTAGATCAGATATTATTTGTCAAATTTGATATTAGGATCTCAGAATCTGATATAAAATAAAATAATCTAGTATAAAAAATAAATTAAAATTTGATTTGAAAAAGTCAATCTAATATAAGACTATTAAAATTTTAATTTTAGAAAGTCAAAATTTATTACTGATATTAGAATGCTAAAATTTGATACAGTTTTTATATATTTTTTTTATCTTTTAAAAAACCCTAAGTATGATACTATAAATCTATAAAAGGATAATCTGATAAAAGTATAATCTGATACTCCGTATTAGACCCATAACAAATCCAATATCACACAATCGTAGAGTGCCTTCTCAAATTTAATAAAAGACAACTCCAATTCAACTAAAACTAATGTCAAAAAAATACTTTCAAATGAAATAAATAAGCCCCAACCAATCCCAAACTCTTTCAAGGAGCTTAATTAAGTCATTAGATTGACTAATTAATTAATTGATTATAATGTTGCCCCTTGAGGGAGAAATAATGAGTAATGACCAATTACCCTCCAATTGATTTGAATTTGAAATAAATTTTGCACATTATTTTGTCCAACCCTCTTTCATTTCTGCGGGAATTAGCCCTTTTAGGAGAGAGAAAATACACATGACTTCCTCACAATTGGAGGCGGCAGTAGTGACTACTCTAATCTCACCGCGCTTCACTTGAATTCAAAATCTATTTCTAATTTCAATTCAATTTTCTACTCTTTTTAAACTTAAATCCCCAATTTTTGATTTTCTTCAATTAAAAATATAAAATCCCTAAAGATTCTCTTGTTTATACTTCAAAACCCTCAAGAACAAACAAACCCTAATACCCGCGCTTCCCCAATCTCAATTTTCATCTCAACCCCACTTCATTTCTGGGTTTTTCTCGAAATTACCAACTACCCATCAAAGTTTGATGAGTTTTCTACCAACCCTTTTCAGCAATTTTAGATTTGTGTGATTTTTGATCTGGGATTGTTTCTTGATTTTTGGTTGATTTTCTTCGAATTGGGGATTTGGGTTTTGTTCAAAGAGGTCAATTTTGTAGTGTAAGTTAGTAATGGGAGATGAAATGTGTTCCCATGGTGCTTCTGAGGCATCTGGGAAGACCCCACAATCTGATTCCAAGGTTAGGATTTTGACTTTATTTTTGATAAAGGAGTTGTTTTTTTTGTTGGTTCGATTTATGTTTTTGAAGATTTTGACTTGTTATTGTGGATTTTGTGTGTGAAGATGGTGGTGGGCGTGAAGCGGCGAGGCGAAGAGTTGGAGGATGATTCTCATGTTAGTCGGAAACAGATTAAAACGAGGGATCTTCAATCGGAAGGTATAATGATCGGTTCGCCTTTGAAAGTCTCAAAATTTTGGTGTTATTTTGCTATGTATAGATGTTGTTGGCTAGCTTTACTTGATCTGAATTGCTTTTAGGTTGGCAGTCTTGCTTTGATCGTTATTACTTAGTGGAATTCTTATCTACATTATCATATCAAGGATTTTAAACCTCTTTTAATTGTTTGCAAAGTAGGTGTTGTATAAATGAGGATTAGTAAGTTTGTTAAAATTTCGCGCTCTAAATTTGTCAAAAATGTTGCGGTTTAACATATTGGTATATGCAATTCATGGTGTAGGTAAATTTTAAATTAACTAAGAATTTCCTGTTATATGACAATTATAATGTACTATGTACATTGTGTAAGATCAAGTATGATACTCCGAGCAATTATTGTGCTTTCCTTTAGATGTATTAACAATGAAAATCCTCATTTCGCCCTTTTCAGAACTGCATTTCTAAAAATAGTGCATCTACTTTTTTAACCACTTGAGTCAAATTAATGAGATCTTTTACAACAGGAATTGATACTCATGAACCCGAAACCTCCAAAATTGATGAAATTGAAGAACACATGGACATTGTAGAGACCCAGAGTTCGCAAGTTCTTGACAAGAATGCCATTGAAAATGCAGATGCAATACAATTAGGAGGATCGACAAAATCGACGCATTTAGTTGACCATAATGATTCTATGCCACTGGATCTCAATACGGAAATGTGCACTGATGAAAATTCCGGTTATAATGATGTTGTTGTGTCTTTAGAAGGTCCCAAAAAGCATTCCTCATGTGCAAAAGGTAAAGCAATCCTTGAGCATAATCGTATGCCTTTGGGTGGTGGCAATCGCTTGGATCTTAACGCTGAAGACGTTGCTAGCTCAGTTAATCATGAACCTTTCAACACCCATAAATCTCAAAATAATCAGCAAACAAGGGACACTTCTGATAGTGGGAAAGCTACAGGTCACTTGGAGGATAAAGATGCCCTAAGAAAGTGGAAAGAGATGAAGAAAAATGGTTTTATGTCATCTTCTTATGGCTATGGAGGCATACCAGCAGCGCCTAAGCAGCGTGGAAGAAAGAGCAAAAATGAGGTGCTCAAGCAGAAGATGGAACAAGCAAAGAAAGAACAAGTTGATAGGTTTACGAAGATTGCTGCTCCTAGTGGATTGCTAAATGGATTGAACCCTGGGATTATTAACCATGTGAGGAATAGTAAACAGGTGCATTCCATAATTCAGTCACTTGTCAAATCTGAGAAACGAGCAAATCGTAGACAAGCAAATGAGGTGAGAGCTGAGAGTAGAGAGCTATCTGAAATAAACACAGAACAAGATAATGTAAAGTTTTCTGGGGTACATGGATCTGGTCTCTCTTATGGAGTTTCATCTCTCAGTTCTATGCCAGAAAGCAGTTCACTTCAGGAGAACCATTTTTCGCAACATAGTTCTGCCTTATATAGTTCAGAAGATAGGAGTGGATACAGGGATCCAGCCACAGAGGAGAGGTTGACTTATCCAAACATGTCTTTATTTTCAAACCCCAAGAATTATAGTGAGGATGATATACTTGCTCTAAAGTTGGCATCTTCAACCAAAGCCTCAGAAAGTACTAGCTGTCTTTCAAATGAGGAATCAGCAAATGGTAGCAGTGTTGACACTCTTTCTGTTAAAGGTGAGCTAGTAACCCTTGTTTGCCTTTATTTTTGCTTGAAGTGCTCATTATTGCAGCAATTATTGAATGCATTTAAGATGAAGCGCATAACTAAACAATGTATCATCTTAGTTTTTATTCCTGTTTTGATACTTTTGAAGTCAAAGGTTTTTGGCTATGTTATAATGGTATCATCTGGTTGACCATTTAACACTTTTTTAATTTTCTTTGTCTCAGCTGCTACAGTAGCTTCCCAATGGCTGCAGCTTCTACATCAGGACATAAAAGGGCGTCTTGCGGGTGAGTTTGCATTCATTGACCGCTTTACATGTGAGCTTTCATTGTAAAAGTTATGTGGGTCACTTAAGTGGGATGGTGTAATTATGGTTCTGTTGCAGCTTTGCGACGTAGTAAGAAGAGAGTACGTGCTGTTATTACAACTGAGTTGCCTTTCCTCTTGTCAAAAGAATTCCCTCCCAACCAGGGAAATGATCCTTGTGTTATGAAGGATTCTGCTTCTGGTAACCCAAGTAAGGCCACAGCTGAATTACATCAGTCGCACTGGAGTAAGTTGTTCAACCAGATGGATAGTTCTCTTTCCGAAGAAGAGAAACAGCTGGTAAGTTAAGAGGAAGATGGTGATTTAGTATTACAATTTGAGCACTTTTTATATACTTCTTAAAAGTCATTAGCTTATATATTATTTAGATGAAAGCACTAAAATTACTCATCTTTCACCTGTGGTAGGAATGCTGGCTGAATCAAGTAAATGAAATGATGCTTCACTGTGATCAAGGCCTGCAACATGTACATTGGAATGCTATATTTGAGATGCAGCATATGGGAATTGTAGATAACAATTTAAGGTAGAGCTTTAGTCCTTGTCACTATTGCTTTAATGAGAGTATACGTTCATTTCATTCAGCTATTCGTCTGATTACTGCTTACATTAGGATTAAACTGATTTAACATGTGAAGATGTGATTGCTTATTTTTACTTGATCACTTCCTATGCTACTGATGCGTGCTTTGGTTCTTATATGTATTCGATCTGCAAAAATTGTTTGCTCTGTTCTGCTAGAAAATTCTACTTTGGTTGCTATTGATGGCTCTATTGACTCTGGCTACATAATTTATCAGTGTTGCATTCTAAACTTTGATTATATAATGCTTAAATGGGAAGCGTTGAATTGTAGGCATGAAAATAAGGGCTTGTCATATTTAAGAAAGTGTTTTATTGACCTTAGGAGAATTGTAGGCATAAATATAAAAGAAAGAGGATTTGTCATTAAAATAAGTCTTATTTGGGGTGTAAATGATGTGCTAATGCTTGCATCGCATGGCTCAAGGAAGTAAACTCTATTGCCTCTTGTTTCCTTCTTTTTTCTTTCTTTCTTTTTTTTTTTTTTTTTTTTTTTTTTTTTTGTTTTTTTTTTTGAAGCTGCCTCTTGTTTTCTTAGTTCTATTTTTGTTAAAACCTTTTGTTTCACAACAATATTTGTCTAAGTTAATTTTTGACAGAGGTTAAAGAAGTAGAGATGAGCTAATAGAAGTGTTTTGATGAAACAGTGAGTGAACTTATATCAGGACAACCAATTTAAACCTTACCACATTAACAAAATGAGGGCTAATATTGTGAGCTAGTTTTTTTTTTTTTTAAATGGTTTGTTTTTTTGTATTTTTTTTGGTTTTGGCAAAAGCTTGTTAGCAGCTGGCGTGTCTTTAGCTTTCCAAAATTGTTTACTTATGCTCATCAACCATTATTTGAATGGTCAGCTTTAAAATTTATTAAGGTATGCCTTTTCTTCTTTTGACTACAGATCAAAGATTAATGATCCAGAGAAAGATCTGTCTGTGAGAGCTGCTGCAGCTTCTATATACTCGACGTGCAATTTTCTATCTTCAAGGGAAAACGTCAGTTGCTGCTGATCATTCCTCACAACTTCTCTAAATCCCTTGTTTTCAATTATAGTACTCTTTTATCCCCCCCCCTTCTCTCATAGTTCGAGGAGATCCTCTGATCTCTATGTGCATTTTTACCAATCCACCTTGTTCCCTGGCGGAATAATGATCTGTCTGAGCTTGTTTCATGTAGAATTAGCTGTTGACTTTACCCATGTATCCATTCAATTTTCTTAGATGTTAGGTGTAGAAACTGATAGTTTGGATATTCATGTCATAGTGGTTAGGAGAATTTTTTCTTTACCCTTTTACTGCTACTCGATGCTACTCGTAGAAAGTAGTCAAGCCATTGAGCTTTATTGTATTTAGATGAATGAATAATTCTGTTTCAGATCTGATTTGTCTGCTTGCCTGTTGCTGAATCAATTGGTCTGAACAAGGCAACTAGAATAAAGACTGCATGACTAGAGAGAAATGACCAAAAAAAGAGCCCTAATTTATACCTGGAAGCCTGGATCTCTGATGTTTAAATTTTTGAGCTTGCTATGTTGATAAAATATTACACCCTACAGTACCTCATCAGAATACTGGTGGGATCTATTCTAAATTAAGTAGCAGCGGGGTGTACTAGCATTCAGGTCGGTATGAACCTGCTGGGGGCCTGGTCTATGGTAAATTCGTAAGGCCTTTGATAGGCTGAGAGTTGTGACTTGGCCGCTTATTGTGAAGGCCCGTCAGGACACTACCAGCCTTATAAATCAAAGCAAACTATGTAAGTCAGACCTTGTAGAGGATCTGAGTTTGACCTGCCTCCTGTTCAAATTCAATTTTTTCTGACTTGGTTTCAGACTTTTTATTATCAGATCTGGACAAAATTGTCTACTAAAAAGGCTTGTTTCACTTGGAAGAGTTATCGGAAAATTCTACATCGAAATTTAGGGTAACTAATGTAAGAAGAATGGAAGATCACTCAAACTAGCTTAGGATTTGGCTGATCAAGCATGGTAGGATTTGGCTGATCAAGCATGGTAAGAAAATGACCAAATCTGACATGACACATGAGGCACCCTTATGAGCCGTGATTTGTGTATGAACATTAGTTTTAAATTTTTGCACCACCTTATTATATCTAACCAATTTACCAAGATTATATGAGTAAAAATATTGTCCTTAACTTGGCACGTGAGCCTGATCAACCATGAGCTTCATTACAACATAGCTTTTCTTTTCTTTTCTTTAAAATTGTTCCCTCGAGTATGAGACACATTAATTAGGGCCTGTTCTTACTGACAGAACTCAGCTGAACTGAACTTATTAGAGCTGAACTAAACTGAACCGAATATTTTATAAGAGAAGAAAATTAGGAGCTGAACTTAACTTAACTTATAGAGCTAACTGAATTGAACTGAACTGAAAATAATCGTTTGTGAATAGACCCTTAATATGTCAAATGAGCCTACGCTACCCAATTCAAATTCGTTGAAGTCTAAGGCCCTGTTCTTTTGAACTTCTAGGCGAAGCAAGCAGGAGAAAATAGCATAAAAGCAAAGCAGAGCAGGCCCAAGGCTATCTCCGATTTCCTTACAGATGGTCCAAACGGAGGAGCATGGCAGTCTCTATAGTCTCTTGCATTTAAAAATCCATGAAAAAAAAGCATGATGTAAAATTCATGATTATGAATTTATGCATACTTTTTTCTTCTTTTGCCCCAAACCTCTCTCGATCTTTATCATCAACACAATCTCTCTATTTCCCCACTTTTAAGTCACACTCAAAGATCAAAATTAGAAATTAGCATTAAAAATTCAATCTTTCTGTATCCTACACCAAGTTCATTTTTCTCTTTCTTCAAAAAAATTACCAAATAAGGTTGAATTTTTGTGGGGTTGTGTTCTAATTTCTGCTATAAAATCGAATTTGTTGCTAAAACCCAAAATCTATACATACCCACAATTCATTTCTCCTCAATTTTCTCCCTTTTTGCAAAACAATCAAACATTGAGGTTGGTCACAGACCAAAAATGGCGGCGTCAGAAAACACGGGTCTGGTTCCAACTCAAAGAATGGAAGACAACTTGAATTCTCAGCTCCTTTATCAGAGCAATAGCAATCCTTTAAGGTTCGGGCGGGGGCCCGTTAACCCGGGTTCGAAACTCGGGTATATGGATAACAAGCTCTTTAATATGGATCACCGTGAGAGGGGGTACTTCTCGCCGGAGCTCCGGCGAGGTGGTGATGGTGTAGGTGTTTATGAGGAAGGAGCCGCTTCTCCGAGGCGAGGCGGGTCTCGGGATTGGAATGGTGGTGGACCCGCCTCGACACCAAGTAGCGGCGAGGATGATGAGGAGGAGGATGAGGATGATGATGAGGAGGAGGAGGAGGAGGAGGATGAGGAAGGTGATGGTGAAGTGTTGGGATTGGTGGGAATTAGTGGTGGTAGAAAGAATAGTCATAGTAGTGGTTGTGGGGGGAGTAGTAGTGGAATTGGGGATAAAATTGGGGTTGGAAATTCTAAGGATCATGTTTCATTTGGTAAGTTATGTGTTAATTAATTTATTTTTTCTAAGTTTATTTACTTAAGTTGTAGATTAAGGAGTTTGATTAAGTAGACTATGGTATGTGATCTTAAGTCTGAATTTATTGCACAATTAGAAATTCATGAGTAGGGGTGATCTATGTTAGCCAATTCGAGTTATGAGAATGCAATTAGCATTGTGGATTTGTTAAATTAGTCCAAAACCGAATCACTCGTCCGTTACAACTTACAGTTCGTGGGGGTGATTAGCCATATAGGTTACTTGTGGTGGTGATTGTTGTAGTGTTATTGTGCTATTGGGGAATGGGGATAGAAATGAGGTTGAAATTTAGTGTCTGTCTTCAATTTGTAAGGTTATTATTTGCTACATTGGATTCGTTTTTACAGAAGGTTGGCTAAATGATTGAAATTGATAATGGTTGGAAGTTGCAAGTTTAATTGATTTAGAGATGTTATGTGATAATTCTTTTCACCTCATAGAGAATTTGATGCAATTTCAAGCCTGGACTTATTGTTTAGAATCTTATGCACAATGTCGAGGAATTTGGATGTCCTGAATAGGGAGGGAGTAATGATAAGAAAATGTTATGGACCAGTGCTATGGTTTGTTTGGGTGTGAAAGCTTTTGGTTAATTTGTTAATTTGTGATGGTAGGTTCATCAACTAGGCAAATAATGATCAAGGATGGGGGTATCTTGCAACCAGGGGGTAATGCGAATAGAGTCAGTACGAGTGAGAATGACCAGCAAGGAAGAGTAGGGAACTATCAAAAAATGGTTACAGTTGCAGAACATGATGGTGGTGATGTGTATTATATGCAGTTGTTGCAAGGAACAGAAGGCTGCAGCCAAGGTCAGAAGGATATAGCTGGGGACAATGGTTGTGGGTTCAATGGAAGGAAGGACATCGCTACTACTAGTGATCCAGGAGAGTCACTGAGAGCAATTTTCTCTGATCCAATAACGTGAGTGCTTGTGGAAATTATACTTCTCTTGTTTGAGCAGAGGCCAGAAAGTTTATTATTTTTATGTTTTCCCTACTTTTCCTTAAAGGTATGCAGACGGAGTCAATCATAGAAATAGCCAATAATGTTCAATTAAATGGGATCTGAGTTTACCTAGTAATGTGCAATTTTCATAGGCTGATTTCTGATGCTTGTTGATTGCATGTCATTGCATTGTTAGTTACAACTAATCATAAGTTCAAATAAGGGGAAATAAGTCTAGGTCAAGGCTATTAAGTTAATTATATAAATACACATAAACTATGGATATCTTGCATTGGAAAAAACACGTAGCATTTTGTTTAATAATAATATGTAATTACTACAAAAGTAATGCTATCTATCCACACCAAATTGCAAGCCATGAGCTTCGTAGTTTGAAGATCTTGTTAGGCTTTTGCTTCCTATTCTGTCTCTTTTACTCTTCTTCCCTCTCCTAAATTTTTACATTATTCTTCATCTTCTTTCCTTTGAAGCCTAAGACTATGGGTTTCGCTATTCTTTTATGTTTTGTATTATTATATTTTATCTTAGGGTTTCCAAGTTAGTGTTTTCTGAAGTTCTACTCGCTAGTTCTCCATGACCCGATTGTTTATCTGAGTGTTCATGGTGCAAAGTTTTGGCTACACAGGGGAGCTCTAATGGATGATGCAATGATATTACCTTGTGGACACTCCTTTGGAGGCGGTGGAATTCAGCAGGTTATCAAAATGGTGAGTAATCTGAAATTCCTATGTAAAATGTTATATAGCTGATGATCACCTCCAACCCCCCACCCCCCTCTCTCTCCCCCAGCGCACCCCTTGAATCTGGATGCATTCTTTATGGCGTTATTGTAAGACCAATTTGATATGTCTGCAATGTTGATTTATCTTCTTTATTGGCAACTTGGCATATATAATATTGATTGATATAGTAATTTGATCACTGATCTGGCAGCATAACCCAAGTTTCTGGCTTGGATTATTTGGTTCCATGTGCTATATGGGCTATGCGCCTATACCTATTACTTACCTTCTTATATGTTATTGATGAGCCATGATCAATTGACTTCTGTCATATGTGTAAATGCAATGCTTAAGTTGTTTCCTGGTGAATGGCTGTGAATATTTTAAAACTCAGTGTATGAATCTCATGTAGGTTGAGTAGGCACAGGCTTTTGTCAGAGCCTGTTAATCTATTACTAAGCTAGCAAGCCAGCAAACCCACCCTTTAAAGCCCTTTGCTGATTAGGTGAGTGGTGACTTCAGCTATATGAATTCTTTGGTTGGAATATACGTAGTAGGAATTAATGATCCTTAGAAAGCTTCCACAAATTTTTTAAAGTCCATTTAATCTTGAATTCATGAGTGAATTAAAGTTATTGATTGAGTATCCATTTCAGGATGGATATAGGTGATTCAAGACATTTTTTGAGGAGTTATGTAAGGCTTGTGAGCAAATTGTCAATTGATCAAGAAATCAACCCAGTGATACCGACCTTGACTATAAACCCTTTACCTTATATCTTCAATTATAAGAAACTAGATCGCACCCATGCTAAAGCACGGAATATATTAATTGTATATGTCAATGTTATCATGGAAGTTATTGAATTTTTTTAGTGGAAGTTATAGAATAGGAAGTTATAATGGAAATTGTTTTTTTTTTTTTTTCTTTAAGTTAACAGAAAATGAGGATTTAGAGGTTGGAGTGCTGTGGTTAATAGTTGGAAAAGTGTCTCTTAAATTATATAATAGATTTCGTAACAAGTTCTGGATCCATACCCCCCTTCCCGTGCTATGCTCTTATATCCTCAAAGGTTCTAAAGGATGACATATTATAGTAACTTAATCTTCCCACCCAATGAAAAGTGCGTTCTTTATTCCCCTATCCATATATTTCATGACCGGACTGTCCACAAGCTCCCAAAAAGCCTTAGAGCTTGGACTACCAATTTGTGGAACCTTAATGCAATTAAATGGTCACTGTTGAATCTCAAATCCAACCGAGGTGACACTAGTTTCCAACTGATCTGGTTAGTAGTAACCCCAGTAAGACTGCAAATACACATAATTATTTTCATTCTAGATGAATGTTGAAAACTGCAGAATATCCAATACACCTTTCATCACATTTTAATCTTGTTTGTCTCATGCCCTTGATGTTAGCTACATAAACCTGATCTTCAGATGTTATTGTTATCGACCATTTTGTACTTAGGAAGCTTTATTTTATATTTATCTCTCTAGACCATTACGTACTAGGCTATTTCTTACTCTTGTTGCAGTTCTCCTTAGTCAATTCTTACTTGCCTAATTATAGGTCTTGTGACTTTTATATACTTCCCACACTTCGTGGTCAGAAAGAATCAAGGCTTGTTAAAGACAGTTGGTTTGCAAGCTCATGATCCGGGTAACTAGTACAAAATGGCTCTTTGAATTCAAATAGAGTAACTGAGAGAATGTTTGTTTTTTCAATCAATGACTTTGATTTTAAGTTCAAAGTATTTTTGTTCATTTGTTTAAAAGAAAATAAAGTGATTTCACAAAAGTCTATTCAAGGAGAAATATATTTTGAACATACTTATCCAACCACTATATAACTTGGATCAAATGGTCCGTCATCGTCATCCCACTAGACTTTCATACTCTATCCATTACCCACATACTGTTTATCCTTGTTAAACCTCCCAAATCTCATTTGGCAAAAGATTGTTTACAATTCTCTAACCTCCCCCCCCCCCCCTTGGGGTCCCCCCTTTCACTCATCCTCCCTCCCTAAAAAACATTCTACTATATATCTATATTCACTATTAATGAACAAAACTCCATCATAATTTCTCTTATTTGAACCTCTGCCCAGGAGAACTGAGAAGTTTCCTGGATGGAGGTAGTATAATTATCCTGAACAATATACAGTATATCAATACTATTAATTAGCAAGGTTTTTATTTTATTCATTAATTAGAAAATTTATCGTTGCAAAATCAGCTGACTCTATCTTTTGATATATTCTGTAAACCTTCGATAATATTTCCCAGACATTTCACTCCAGGTAGCTCACAAAAGCTAGAAGAGTCCTTCTGTAAGTAATCCATTATTGGCGAATCTTGATCAGTGACAGCAATTCTTTGCTATTATAATATACTTCGTCTCTCTGAGACTCTGAGTGTGTCTCCTGTGTATGGTGGTGTGTGAGAGTGTTTTTTTTTTTTTTTTGTGTGTGTGTGTGTGTGTGTGTGTGTGTCTGATTAGCACGTGCACACACACGTGTTAATAATATGGATTTCAGTTTTGAATGTATGTACCCAGTAATGCCTTTTGTCATTCATCAGTCATTTTACATCTCTCCTTGACTCCTTGCTAATGTAGTGTGTGACTATCATTTGTTCTTTGGTTAACGTTAATGTAAAGTAGAATAGAACACTGAATTACTGAATCACAGGAGCCTGCTAACAAATCCTTGATACTTAGTTACTAATGTATTGGAGAGTTCAGTATTTCCTCAAGCTTTGATTTTATGTCTTTTGAAAAACTATGATAAAATTATGATAAAATTTATTTGCAGAAAGCTTGCTATACGTGCTCGAATCCTGTAACTGAAGAGTTAGTGGCAAAAAATCTCTGTAAGTGATTAAATACAGAGGTACTTTAGCTTCGATTTATAATATGCTCATGAAATTGAGGTCAATGTAACTCCCTTCATGTTGTGAATCTGCTGTAGCCACCTTGGAGAAATGAATATCTGTGCGAATTTCAATCTTTAGTTTAGTTGTGAGTTATATTTTATTCTTATAATTCATATAATTTTCTGGTTGTTTTCAGCTCTTCGAACTGCTGTTCAAGCTTTTCGACGTGAAGAAGATTTACAAATGTACAAAGCTTCCAAAAGGAGAAGAGAGAGGCTTGAACAGGTCTCTTATGTTTCCTAGTGAATTCAAATTAACTGTTATTTTTCCTTCTAATAAAAAAATTAAGTACTTTCAAGACATGGCTTTTTTTAGTGTGAGTTGTTGGGTGGAAGGGTGTGGGGCAAATGGACAATTCATCTGTGTTGGGAATAGTAGACAATCAGACTTGTTCAAACTAGAATTTATGTGGTAACTGAAATGAACTACAGTTGATTGCTTGTCTGTTATGCAGGACAAGGGTACTTATGGTGATTCATCTTTCTTAGATTCACCTAGAGGAAGAGGTGTACAGTTTCCGTTCGTTGTGACCGATAGAGTCATCATCAAGGTCAGTGAAATTTTCACGTTTTTGTTTGTTTTGGCCATTTTCTTTGAGGTTAAAAACTGATGATAGGAACTGTAACTTCTATCAGGGAAACAAGAGGACACCACAACGTTTTGTGGGCCGTGAGGCAATTGTTACGACACAATGCTTGAATGGATGGTCAGTTGACTTACTATGTTCTCTCCCCCCCCCCCTCCTCTCATTGGAAAACACACACGTTACTCATTTAATGGAAGGGTGTGCAAGTTACAAGTCAATATAAAATCACCAAAAAATATACGCAGAAAACACTTCATTAATCAAATAGGTGAAAAATCCACAATCTTGTATTATTAATCAATCCTATTAGTGATGGATCACAACTGAGACGATCTCCATAGATCGTGTTAGTATGTAAATTCATCCCAAGAACGCCCAACCATTAGCTTCTCAAAATCTCTCAAGACTGCATCATTAATCTCAAGAATTTACTCTACCTTTCTTTAGAAAATATTATCCTTCTAGGAACACTTTCTAACTTCTTAAGATTACATCACTAATGTATGCTTGCAAGGCTTTTAACATTGAAATTCTCACAAGGTGTAACTGCCTTATGAACACCCTCTACTCCTCTAGTAACTTAAGATTCATACTTACACCTAAACTTCGCTGTTTTTACATATATTGCACCACCCCTTGGCTTGTCATTTTGTGTGCACCACAACCTCACAAGTATGTCCACAAGTCACAAACGATAAGTACTACCTTTGTTTCCGAAAGTTATTAACATTTGCTGTCTGCACATCAACTAAGGCAATTGGAGAGCGTGTTGATGTGATGAGTGGGTGTTGGCCGCCTCTAGGGAATTAAGTGGATAAAGTAATAGAGAGTGTAATAGGAAGTGTTAAGAACTCTCAGAAACAACATAGTGAGTAAATAACCCATTACCTTCTCATATAGGACATGGAACTCTACTGCCACTAAATTATATTATAGGCCTCTTTATATCCTAAAATTACACATCTTTAAGAAAACTAAATATAACTTGTATGGTATACAGTACAGGCTTGCAGGCTCCTTGCACCACCGTGCCAATTGCCCAAGCTTCTCTGAACTTCTTTCTGACTAAGTGGAATACGTTTGCCACCCTCGAACTAATTCTTCTTTATTTTTCGTCATAGCCTTTCTGAAACCTCTGGTACCCACTCCATTTTGTCTAGAATCTATAATTACCCCATTGACACTGATGTATTATCCCTTCTTCCTACCATATCATTGGGCGGTAATTGTAGTAATGAAAATCAGTGAAGAGAATCAGCTACTTGGTGGTGGAGGTGCATTTTTATAGATTAAAAAAAAAAAAAAAAAAACTTATTAATGAAAAATCACTTCTTAATTACTTGCGAACTCATCACATTTCCTTAAAATATAAAACCTTAAACAAACAAGCTCTTGGGGTATCAAATGCCTTGACATGGTTGCTTACATGAACACAGACACTTCAATCTGATTCAAAAACATGTAAGAATGAGCAAAATGCTTATGTTTGACTCATTGACACACTTGTTTTCAGAAAGGTTACTGAGTCTGAGCAACATTGTATTCTGGAACTCTGCTAGAAAAAATTGGTTATAAAGGATAATTTATACGTAGTAGCTCTTTTAATAGTGACTTGAGTAAAGGTGTCGAGGTGGGCTGGGTCGAGCTGGTGGGTGGAGCACTATGACCATCCCACAAAGCTGGTTTATAAAGCTTGGAGTTCAATCCACCTCCCAATCACTGTGATCTCTGGTCTCAACTCTCTAGACTGCTTATTACAGAGCACATTGTTGCTTTTGTTGAATCAGTTTGCATCTAGTTTACTTTAATGGAATAATGTGCGTCCTTTGTCACGAACATTCCTGAGGATTCCTTATTCTCTTGTTAGGTATGTGGTGAAGACTCTGGACAATGCAGAGAGTGTAAAATTGCAATATCGATCATTGGAAAAGGTTCCAGACAACCCTTCCTCAAAGCCAATTGCAGAGAAGGCGACATCAAACTGGCTGTAGCCCCAAGATACTTCGGCGTTGCCTAATCTAACAATTTCAGGTCAGGATCTTTAGAGGGTGAAGACAACACTTACAAGCCTTGTATATAGAGAGGGAGTCATTTTCAATTTTCACCGGAGGAATATGTGCCTTTGTATAACTTCCTCTACTCCATTGTATGTAATTTGTTTATTAAATCTATTTTTCATTTTATTCCATTAGCTATAATCTTAAAGACAGAGAATTGAGCCACTGCCCAGATTCGCATTGACGAAAAAGCCCAATCCAATGGGAGAAGTAAAGGTTCACAAACATACACAAATTCTCAAGAGTGTATAAAACTCACCCTAAAAATATGGTATCTATGTCCCCAAATTACAACAAAAATTTTATGTTGGCATATTTATCATGGTTATAAACTTGAATTTTCTCGTTCTAAGATGTGTACGAGACATCGAAAACAAACTTAAATACTAGTATGTATACTTACGAGTATTTCTTTTACATAATGAAATGGTGTACTCATTTCTAAACAAAACTCGGGTAAATAATGTAAACTACAGGTTGTAAACCACCGTCTCCAAATTCCATATTCATTAATTTCCAAAAATTATCCTGGTAAATAATGATAATACTGAGAAATTAATCCCTATAACACTAATATGTTGCTGGCCACACTTATATGGGCTATTTTGTTAGTGTTATATGGGTTACTTAGACAATGTTATAGGGGTTACTCGTTCAGTGTTAAGGAGTTACTCGATTAGCGACTCATTGTTATAGAGGTTACTTTTCTTTTTTTTTTTACAAGCGGCGATACAGTGTAGTCAGCCTCTTTGGAGCTGATATAATTATTTACTTCTGCTTTTACTTTTCCAAAACATTTTATTTTTTTCCGAATACATCTCAAAATAAATGGAAATCTGACAAAACATAAATAATTGGGTTTTATCATTATTGACATCCCTGCTCCACAAAGGCAAACAACGTACATGCGCTCCATAAAATCGAAGTTAAAGTGAGAATCATTTTCGTCTCTCAATAAAGTGGAATTACAAAGTTATGGCTAAGTTTATATTCTACTATCATTGTGTGTAATGTTTTCTACATTTTGATGTTTACACTTCCTTTTCTTTTCCCCTCAAAAAACTTTGTGTTAGTCCCTACCATTACACCTTTAGTCTTTCCCCAAATAATGCATCACAAATTTGTTGTCCTACAATAATTATAGAGTACGAACGACTTCCTTTGTTCTTCTAATATTGTCAAATTAGTTTCAGCTAGACTTTTCAATTTCTAAACCTACCCCTTGTGATCATCTATTGCGATTTATGTAAGAATGAACATAGTCATGTGATATTTTTGTAAGTTTCATCACGATATACTTACAAAATTTTACTTTTTATGCTTTAAACTTATGTAAATAATCAAAGATAGATACCAATGGTTTAACTCGTGTTTTGGAGAGTTCTATCATCCACGTTGCAATAAATATATAATGGAGAAAGCATAACTCTATAATAAGAAGTTGAAAGTGAAAACAATTAATAAATAATATCAGTAACTGACATGTAATTTTATCTTGAAAATATTACACAAACTGTCACAAATTTGACCCACTTACAACCATTAACATGAAATTGTATTTATAACTTATTAGGTTGACATTAATGTTGTTAAACACACTCAATGACATAAACATTACTCCCTCCGTCCCTTAATACAATGCTTCTTTTGAGTATTTGTTCCTCACATAATAAAGAGAAAGAGACATTGTATTAAGGGACGGAGGGAGTACTAAACACATGCAATGGCATGAATTATATCATAAAACCATTCTAGTAATGTTGTTATATTTATACTTTTATATTAAGTTTATGTCGATGAGTGATATTAATGTCCAAGTTCATATCAATTTAATTCAAGTTCGTGTCAATGGTGGCAATTACGTTCATGTCAGTTGTCAATAAGTCTAACTTTGCTTTTTGTGTTTTGTTTACTAATATAAGTATCATATTAGAAAATAATCTAAAATGTTTATAGTTAGCTCTAAAGCCCTAAAGGATTGCAAATTTTGAAAAATTGTGGATAAGAAAGTGGAAAGGATGGGCTTTCTTCTCTTTTAGTGCAAATGTCCGATGTTTTTTGGATACAAATTTTTAAGTATACGACCACTTGTTTTTGTCTTTAGTTTTTTAAGGTAATAATGGAACACTTTATTTTGTTTCTTTATCTTATTTTAAGAGCAAGTTTCATGTGATCTCATATTACACAACTTATTGTATGATACTATTGTGAGATAACTTATTATGAGATTGCTTTATGCTTTTACATATTCCATTGCCCTTTTTTTTTGTGTGTAATGTCCTCACTTAGTAACTTCTAAAATTGACAAAATTCACTTCCTCTCATCCATCTAGCTATAGATAAAGAATGAAAATTAAGGGGATAAATGAATAGGATAAAGTTTCACCATATATGGATGCTCATTATTCTCTTCATACTTTAAAAATTATTGTATAAAGTCAGAGATTCCCCCTTAGCTTTATACTATTCTAAAGATTGTGTTAGTTTTTCAGCCAAGCAAACTTTGCTGCTTTCTTAAGTGAATGATTGTCAAATTTTAGTATTCACCATTCTTTGTAGGGTTCGATTATTTTGGGGTTTGTTCTCTTCAGCTTAATTTCAGTTCAGTTCAGTTCAGCTCTAATCAGTTCACTTCACTTCATTTTCTAATTTCCTTCTCTCATAAAACATAAACAATTCATTTCAATTCAGTTTCAATCAGTTCAACTCAGCTTAGTTCAGTAAATCATAACTGGCCTTTAGTTTAGGTCATAGTTTGGTGATTAGTCATATTATTCAAATATCAAGTATGTTAAATGATACCAAGTTATTTACAAAGCAAGCCATATTAATTTCATACAGTATGTAGTATATTATGAATAAATTTTATCAAAGTTAACCTTATTAGGTTTCTTTATTGAGCCCAACCCTAATGTATAATTGTTTAATATAAACAAGTCTTAGATGCATTTTGGTAGTTGGGACAACCAACTCAATCCTAGTAATTCTAAGCACATGGAGTCATGGGAAATCTAAGTTAGTTTAACCAAAGAAACCAACGAAAATGAACATAATATTATAAAATAGGACCATCTTTGACTATTGAACTATAAATCAAACCAACTTAGAAGAATTTTCTTCTAAAGAAGAAATTGGGAAGTTCAAGATTTTTTTATTTTTTTATTTTATTATTATTTTTTTTTTTTTTTGGGATTTTGAGGAAGAATTCCTTGATTATATGAATTACAAAGTTAGAGGAGCAATAGAAGGGGATTTCATGTGAGTCAATTCTTCTACCCAGTGATAATAGTACAAATTTTGAATTGCTAAGATTCCAACAACATTGATCTTACCAACATTTGCACCATTCTATAAATCACTTGCAAACCAATTCCACAACTTTTATAAAGGGAAGAGTTTACATCTATAGATAGGTGTTAACCTCATAAGGGGATCTTTTTTTTAAAAAAAAAATGTGCAACATGTATGCCGATGCAGACTTTGAGTAATGATATCATATAACTTATAAAAAGTTGATATGTGAATACTATGCTTTGAGACAAATTTTACAAATAATAGCATCAAAGTCAAATTGAAGCACGTAAAAATGGAGGGATTATTATTTATATATACATGATAAAATTATACGTTTATCATTATATATCAATTTCTATTATTGGAACCTAAATAGATAAATAAAAAGCAACTAGCTTTTGTTAATTTGTTATTAACTAACATCAAAATTAAACAATTTTATCTTGGTCATACCACCCTGTAATGAACATGCTAAATACAACACAAATTATGAAATTGTTGGTGAAAAATACTTTACAACTTTTACCAATTAAAAAAGTGCCAAAAGTCCAAAAAAAACCACCTCAAAAAGTGAAGAAACCAACAGAAAGACAAGGACATTACGGTCTTTTACTCTTTTACATTAAAGATTTCAATAAAAGGCGGGAATTCTTTTTACTTTATTTAACTTTATAATAAAATTAACAGAAATTCACATGGGAAAATATTGTTGTTTTGTGATTTGTATAGTTGTGGTTAAAGCTGATCCTTCATTTGACAATACCAAATCAATGTCAGTGCTTGCTAGCAAAATCCATCCAAAATTCCACCATTTTCTACTAATCAAGAATGTTTGAACAATACCTAATTAATATTCCAAACATTTTAGATATTATATTACCATGATCGGTAAGGTGAATATAAATATCAATTGACTCGTATCTGATTACTTGTATCAATATGTCCAATTCAAACTTAAGGTATACTCATATTCCGGGTTTAACCAAACCGACAACATAAATGAACAATATGACATGAGCAACTCCGAACAAAATCCGGTCTGACACTTCTAAGATTCGACTTTACCTCTGACTACCACAAATGGAAACAATAGGAAGACGGTGATATTTCGAATTTTGTGAACTGATCAAAATACAACCAAGAATATGAACTTCTTACATTTTCATTTCACAAACATAAATAGAAGGTGGAACTACCTAAAGATATCCAAAATGGGTTGCCAAATTTGAACCCGGTGAAGAGGAATCCGGCAAGAACTACTCCTAGTCGCTACTTACAAACAGTGGGAAACTACAAAGGCAGAAGCTAAGGACCCAAAAAAATGAACTAACAATGAGAGAATTAATTAGTTTTCGACAGCTTCCAGCTTGTTTACATGCAAATACACAGACCGGATTCCTCTTCGCCGGATAATTCAACTGTAAGTTCGACATGTTAGTATTTAGGCATGTCGAATAATAGTACTTACCCTGAGTCTTCTTGGCCTTCCGAAGGACACCTGATTAATTCCAAGATATTAACCACCTCTGTCATATCAGGTCTGTTAGACGGCACCTGTGATGTGCAAATCAACCCTAACTTCATAACTGGAATGGCTTCCTCGGCTGGGAATCTACCTTGCAACCGCTCATCAATACATTCTTCCACCTTCCCTTCTTCGAGTGCTCCTCTTACCATGTCACACAAAACGATCACGTCATCCTCCATGTACTCAACAGGTCTTTTTCCAGTCACCACTTCAAGTACCAAAACTCCAAAACCATAAACATCACACTTCTCTGTAATTTTTACAGTTCGGCATGCAAATTCAGGCGCCATGTACCCAAGAGCACTCTGAATCTTGCTGCTTAAAATGTACCGATCCAGCATGGGCAACAATCTCGCTAATCCAAAATCACCTACTTTAGGCTCACCTGAGCTATCTATGAGTATGTTGCTAGATTTAAGATTGTAGTGGATGACATTCAGTTGGTGCAAGTGAGATAAACCTTTAGCCATCCCAACAATTACATTGAACCGGTCATTCCATGAAAGAAAGTTCCCACCTCCTCCTTCATGGAGATGCTTATGTAAACTTCCACCGGAGATAAAATCATAGATAAGAAGTTGAAGTGATTGAGTCCAATAATAGCCTTCAAGAGTGACAAGATTAGGGTGCCTGATTTTCCCCAACTTCTTCACCTCTCGCTCAAAATCTTCTTGGGACTTGACAAGACTTGAAACAGTGAGCTTCTTTATAGCAACGGGGCGACCATTTTGGAGAACAGTTCGGTAGACAGCCCCAAACCCACCACGGCCAAGTTCGCAATCCTTGTTGAGTAGAGCGTGGGTACCAGTGCTGAAATCAGGCTCTCCTGAAAATATGACCAGCTTACCAGAATTTGCATCTGTAGAGGGGGAACTGCTGAAACCATCACCATTAGATAATGCAAGGGCAGCAGCAGAGCGAGATGCTGAGGCTCTAACACTTAGGTTAAGAACTGTGATGGCAATCACACCGATTACAATTACTGCAGCAGCTCCGATAGCAATGAGGGAGGAGATACTCAGGAGGTTTTTCTTGTGACCAAATGTAGCAGATAGAGAAGAGCCAGAGAAGGCATCACCGGTGGAGTTGGGGTTAAGAACAATGGGTTTGGGAAGGACAGAGGAGCAAGATTTTTTTGTCGCAGAGCCACAAAGCGATGGGTTGGCTGAGACAGCGGAGGGGTTTATGGTGTTAAAGAAACCACCAGGTAGTTCACCTTGTAGATTATTGTGGGAAACATTGAAGGAAACGAGATGTTGAAGATTAGCTAGTTGTTTTGGCATACTTCCACTTAAATCATTGGAAGAAAGGTCCACAGTTTGTAGGTCAGCAAGTTTTGATAGAGCAAGAGGTATAGGTCCCTCTAGACTATTATGAGATAAGATCCTGGCATAAGAAGAATTAAAAATGAGAAATTTCGGAGTAATTCAGAAAAGGACATCAAAAAATACCAAACATGGCCTTATCAATGCATGAGCAATTAACAACCACAATGGACCTCATCTAGCACAACACAGTAATTTCAATAGACAAATTATTAAAGCTTGGCTTTGTATTCTTATCAGCCAAAGAAAGTTAAACATTGTACTGAAATATTTGGGGGAAAAAAATGATTTTGACAAACTAGACTGTTGATTTCTCGAAGCAGACAGCATGAAACTTAAAGGGAAGCTGCTAAAAAATATAGAACAGTATATAATACAGATTATAAGTATATACAACGGCAACAATGAGCAACTAGCAGCATGAGTTACATATACGATAGAAATGTGGAAGTCAGTACATGAAGAGAGAGCACTTACAATACTGAGAGTGAAGAACAATGCTCAATTGAAGTAGGTATTATCCCCTTAATAAAATTCTTTTCCAGTATCAATTCTTGCAGAGCAGTAGCTTTTCCAATTTCGGTAGGAATGCTCCCATTCAGCTTGTTTTCGCTCAAATCAAGAACATTCAATGCTTTTAGTTCCCCAACATTTCTGGGAATAGGACCCGTCAAAGAGTTCTTAGACAGATTCAAGAATGCCAAGCTGCTGAAATTAACAAGTGCTGATGGAATTGCCCCAGTTAACACATTATTGGACAAATCCAATACCTCGAGGCTTTGATGCGAGGCTTCTTCCGCTGAAGCGAAAGAATCATCCATTGTTCCACCAAAATTATTTTCTGAGAGCAGTATTTCTTGCAAAGCAACCTTAAAAATCCACTTAGGTAGATCACCGGTCAACAAATTCTGCCTAAAATCTATGATTTGAAGGCTTAAACAACTAGCCATAGATTCAGGTAAGCTACCACTCAAAGAATTCATTGACATATTTAACACCTTCAAAGACCTAAGATTTCCCACAGAAGTTGGCAAAACACCAGAGAAGTTATTAGCTGAAAGATCCAGATTTTCAAGCCCTTTCAACCCTCCAACCCATTCAGGAACCTGACCCACAAATGAATTCTCTCCCAAATTAAGATACCCAATAAAACTCAAGTTCAGCAATGACTTTGGCAGGTTCCCAGAAAACAAATTCCCACTAAAATCAAGTGATTTCAACAATGAGCACCCTCCAATTTCACCCAGCAATCGCCCGGAAAGTCGGTTTCGACTCAGATTAATGGTTCTCAGGTTAGCCAAACCATCCATTCCCTTTGGAATTTCATGACTCAGCTGATTATAAGACAGATCAAGTGACCTTAACCCTTGCAAACCCCAAATCCCAGCAGGTAAAGCCCCAGAAAACTGATTAGCAGACAAATTAAGCACAGAAATTCCAACACATGAGCTCAAACTATCAGGGATCTGCCCTGAAAACTTGTTATTAGCTAAATTAACAGTTCTCAAAGGTCCACATTGTCTAAAGAAATCAAGAGGCAATACACCAGAAAATCCATTTTCACTCAAATCAAGTATTCTCAAGTTAGAAAGCCTCACCAATGCAGGGCTGAGACTCCCAGTGAGGTTGTTCTTCGACAGCGAAAGCTTCCGGAGTGCTTGGAGCTGCAGTAAGCCTCGACCGAGCTTACCCGAAAGCGAAAACCCGTCTAGATTGAGCTCAGAAACACGGTTGGATCTAGGGTTACATTTAATACCTCCCCAATAACATGGACTATCATCATCTTCATTCCATGAAGCTAATTTTCCATTTGGGTCTTTAATGTCTGCTTTGAATACAATTAATCCCAACACATCATCATTCAATGAAGGGCTTAAAGATGGTGCACCCTTACAAATTGGGAACCATCCCAAAATTATCAGGATTATTAAACAAACTAGCTTCCTCATTCTTCACAACCCCAGCTCAAAAACAAGATTTTCAGCTTAAAATTGAAAAAAACAAGACACCCATTTCATAATTTAATGAGCTTTAAAAACCCCAGAAAAATCATTAACAAATTCAAGAAAAAAACTCCCAAAATTTCCTCACTTTTTCTGCTGGTTTTGTGCTGAACTGAAAGTGTAACGGCTATAAAACAAACGGAAAAAGTGGAACCCAGTAAATAATCTATCAAACGGATAAATGCAGATTATTCAAAGGGTTAAACAAGCTAAAAATGAAGAAAAAAAACTCAGATTTTGAGTAAGAAACCCTACAAAAAAGGGTGGGAAATGGAGGTTAATTACTAAAAGAGCTTTTTTTCAGAAGTTGGGAAATTTCAGAGTTAGAACAGAGTAAGAAGTGAAGATGAAAGGGTAAGTTGAAGAAGGGTATTTTCGGGAAAAGTGGGGGAGAATGCGGCAGCGCCGGTGAAATGCGGTGGTTGAGACGGTGGTTGTAAAGGAGAGAGATTGAGAGGAGAGAGAGTGAGATGAGAGGAAGTTAAGGGAGTGAGAGAAAATTTAATAGGGGATTTAATAAACAGGGGAAAATTTGGAGGAGAGAGAAAGTGAAATGTGGGGTCCATTTGTTTGAATGTACTATTGATATGATTATACGTGGCTTTAGATCAACGGTGGGACTTTTTTCCTATGTGGCTTACACGTAGGATTTTATAATAAAAAAAAATAAACGGTGTAATTTCTATATGACTGGCCACAACGTGTGATCGGGTTACTTATTTACTCCTAGAAGTTAATCAGTCGGTCAAGAATTATTTATTTTGGGGTTGCTTAGCCGGTTAGTATGTTTTTGCTGGAATTATTTACTCAGAAGTTACTCAATCGGTTGAAGGTTACTTATTTTAGGGTTACTCAGTCGATTAGCGTGTTTTATGTGTGAGAATACTCCCTCACCGACCGAGAAACCTCATAATAAGTAATTATGGGCACATAGTGTGGTCAACCACATATAAAAATTTGTGTTTAGAAAAAAGGTTTATAATTTATTTTAATTTTAAAGAAAAATTTAAAGCTCATTATTTTTTTTTTTTTTTTTTTTTAATAATGTTGGGAAATTATTAAATTCCAATTATTCCACTACTAACTTTTAACACCATAATTGAATGAAATTTATACTTGTGTATTTTGATGAAAAATTAAATGCAAGGGGATGTGTGGATATGTATAAGTCAGGTTAAAATTTGTTCAGTGTACTATTCATACAAGTATACACTAGTATTGATTAACAAGGCATATATGCTTATAACGTTATAAGGACTAGAAATAGTTATATTGAGACTTTAAAATCATGAACCTTAACCAATTCTATTCACCATCTACAAAATAATCTATCTATGTAAACATAATTAATCATGATACCTTTTCGATGTTTATAGAATTACAATAGCGGGTAATAAGAATTAATCTCAGGATCACCTGAAATCAAAAGGATAACTCTAACCGCTTGAGTTATCCTTCACTCTCAAAATAGATAGATTAGTAGATTACCCACTCTATCAATTAGTATATACATGTAGCCAATACTCCAATAGCATGGACATGCAATGAAAAGTGAAATTGTCGCCTCAACATCATTTTAATGGTGGGTGAGAATTAAATGAAAAAAATAAATAAGTGTGGTTTATTAATTATAGTGGGCAATGAAAATATTAAAAGTGATAATGATATCTGAATATTTGATACGAGTACTCATTGCAAATTTAGTACGGTAGTTAAAGATGTGAGGTAGGTGGCATCATTAAAGAAACATCCACTGATCCATAATTACTCACTAAGTAATTAGTGCATTCCTTAATACATGAACGTGAAAGTAAAATCATTGCAACTCCATTTTTAACAATTGAACGAACATTACATACCCTTTTCCAATTTCCATATAAGGAAATACTACAAGTCTACAACATGCAATGCAGAAATCAAAACAGATTTAATTACTTAGATAAGGGTTTGTTCTCATTGACTGAACTCAGCTGAACTGAACTGAACTGAACATTTTATAAGAGAAGGAAATTATGAGCTGAACTGAACTGAACTGAACTGAATTTCAACGTAAGAGAACAGACCCTAAGTGTCGTCTTTTACTCTTTTATAACTTTACCAATTATGTAAGATATTATCTTTCATAATTCTTGAAACGGTTTCCTTTCAATTTTCATATTAAAATATTGTTTATACTTTCATTTTATTCATGAACCCGCATATATTAACAGTTTAGTATCACATTCTTCTCACTAATCACTATAAAATCGATATCATCCTCACAATAATCTGTATTTTTTTAAAGTAACAATGATAAGTAAACAATCACTTATCACTTAAACTCTTTGCAAATATAAGCATATAAACACATTTTATTTTACTAGTATTTTATTTGGATAGGGGAAAGAGTACTTCATAGAGCATGTATGTCTATTTATGAATAGTTTTCTTTGCTCATCCCTCTTATCTTCCCAATCCCTTGATCAACCACTTTCTTACATGGTCACCACACATTATTCATGACATCAAACCAAACTCCATCCAACTCATGAACAAAAGTATTAGTTTATCCCACTCTTTTTTACTTAGTCTATGGGGATAAAAGGGTGATTTAGACCTTGTTTGCATGGTAAAGAACATTCTTCCTTTCATATGTTCAAGTAACAAAATAACTACAATTCATCAACTATTTTGACAATACATCAAAATACGGTAGCTAGTCAAAATACCTAATGCAACTAATTAATTAGCTTAGTTAAAGCACCTATTGCAACTACTTAGTTAAACCAATCAATGCAGTCAGTTTTTAACAATAATGAACTACTATACGTCTAAATCTGCTAATTTTTAAGCAAAACCGTGGTTCGTAGAGAGTTATGTGCAATAATTATATCAATATTGAATGAGATTACAAATAAACAAGACTATATATCGTACATTCTGATAAATTAATCATCCTTCATACTTGTACTATAATAATTCACACATGCTTATATACTAGAATTTAATCAATACATTTTACATAAGAAATTATTTTAGATACTTGTTGGTAGTTTTCTATCATTATCAAATCTTAATCACAATGTTACACAATACAAGGTTGAAATGACAAATCAAAGTGGAAAGGGATTTATAGCCACTAATAGTAAAGTAACAATAGTTGAATAAGACTGCATTATTCCATAATCAATCCAAAATTGGGACATCAAATCATTAAAATAGAGAAAAGGGAAGAAATAATATTAGCATTAACAAAAAAAAAGGAGCTAATTAAGGTGATGGAAGTTAGTCAAGGGTCCAAGGGGAAGTCACGAGTAGTAGGGTGGTTTGGAACATTAAAGAAGGTTCTTTAGTTTTAAGGGGCACACTTCCATTGAATGGAATGGAAAGGGACCCATAATTATTTGTCATTGATATTGTGCCCTAGCTACTTTAATGCATGCCTTCTTTCACTCCATCCTATGGTAGTAGTTGCCATGAAGGGCAACCATTTTAAAGGTCATTGATCTTCCTCCATTTCTATCATTGTCACCTAATAACTAATGTAAAAAAAGAAATTCGGTTAAAATCCATTGAAATGAATATTAAACGGGTGGATGTTGAATCAGGTGTTAAACGAGTGACGAATTGGATGACAAGTAGTTGAAGTTTCACTTGAAATTCGTTGATTTAATTTGTTACCTAAGCTACTTCATTTATCAATCCTTTTTCATCTAGTTATTAGATGTAGATGTCAAGTACTTTGTTGTTTAATGTGAATGCCAAGCATAAACTAGCGGTAGGAATAGTAAAATAAATACGGACTAGTTGTTTAATGTGAAAATTCTTTTTCAGTGTATTACTCACACTCTCTAAACGCAATTAATTTCACTACATTTTTTGAAACCCTACATCAAATATTTAAATCTATTCGTTGTCTATGATTTTAAATCTTTCATGCATACTCAATACAATATTTGGGTTTGTCTCTCAAAGCTTAGTCGCAAAGTAGATCACAACTCATACTTCCCTAACCTACTCTTGAACCCCCCCCCCCCCACCCACCCAAAACTTGTTTACAAGGATTGTATTATAGCAAGCTCCAAATATACATGTTTTATTATTATTATTATTATTATTATTATTATTATTATTATTAAGACATAAGACCTAGTTAAATTTAACCTTTATTTCTTGACATTAATTTGGTCCAGTATTTTTGGGCAAGTCACTTAGAAGTTGGGAGAAAAAAAAAATCAAGGAATCCTCACGGGCTCACCTTCACTTGGTAAGAATCAAACCCTATGACGAGCAAATACAAGATTACAAGCTTATAGTAGACCACAAGTGTTGGCTCAAGTGGTAAGCAACTTGATGTCGCTTAAGGGAAGTCTAGGATTCGAGCCTCGTCGTATGCAGAAACTCTTGTTGGGAGACTCACCCACCATAAACCAGGTGTGCTACCTGAGTCGGATGCGGATGTAGTTGGAGCAAAACTCCGATGAACCAGCAGATGCCATCTAAATAAAACAACAATACTTCCCCCTTGTGAATTGTGATACTCTCGAGTTTGTTAGCAATAATACAAATATACAATACTTTATCATCACTTTAAACCTTACAAGTTGTCCACATTTGTTATGTAATAATACTTATGACCCCAAACAAAACACATTATATCATTCACATTACATTATGATTATTATCCATGAATTATTTGCCTCCAAAATGTACATACTTTTATTTTTTTGGTATTAAAAAATAAAATAAAATAAAAGAAACCCTACCAATATGCTTTCCTTTATTGTGTATTACTATAATAATATGGATTACTTATCCTAATCCCATAGTAACATGCTAAAGTCAAAGGCTAAGAGAAATTGACAGAGCTAAAAATGATACAAAAAAGCCAAAAGGCTATTGATGTGAGTTGCAAACAGCTATAAAAATGGGTTTAGTGGTTTGACTTATTAGGGTATAACTTATAAGCTAATGAAGACAGAGAATAGAATTACAAAGAAGAGTAAAATGCCAAATACAACAAGTCAATTTCAGTGTATTGACAAACAGCTTCCCTGCCGTTGCTTGCCTTTTTTATGTGATGTTGTAATCACTAGACTCACACTACTCACTAGTTTGAGCAATTTCCCTTGGCATTTTCAAAGGGACTCTTATATAATGTGTTTATTATTATTATTATTATTATTATTATTATTATTATTATTATTATTATTATTATTATTATTATTATTATACTTAGTTAATTTATTGTTAATTTAACCTTTGCTTCTTGACTTTAGCCAAATTGAGCATGTTACTATATACTAGTACTTGTTGAAAATCCAAATTAAAGAATTAATGTATCATGTTGTTATAGCCGTATGTATAACCGGTATAAGACCTTACATGTCTAAGGTGCATGATTTGTTCAACCCAAGGTGATTTTAATTTTAGTTTTTAAGATAAAAAAATTTACAATATGTAGGAAAATATTTAAGGAAAATGAAGATATCAACACCAAGTCGGTCTAGCCCAAGGCACGATATAGGTCGACAAAGTATGCTAAAAATTTTGAAGTTTGGCTTAGGCATTGCAACATAGGCATGCTAGCACCAAAGCACGACTAGTAGGATTGGACCATGCACATGCCGACCTTTTCAAAATTTTGACATGGCCTGACACGATACATGGCTCATGGACTAGGCCTACCGAACTCCAAACACGTGGCTCGTTATGGGGCATGACCCACAACCATTAGTAAACCTCGTCTTGCATTTTAAGTTTCAAGTTTTATTCTTGTAAGAATCAAATGCACAACTGTCTAATACTCCATGTTTTCCCATGAATTTTGCAAGCATGATTGTTCTATAATAATGGAACACTATTGAGAGTAGTAAAAAAGGTTGAAGTCCATTAGAATTTAGAACATGTAGTTTCATGACTTTCATGCCAAGTCCATAATGTTAGGCTTGGCTCAACCCACTTTTATGGCCCAAGTCCATAATTCGAATACTTCTAAGTTCTAAATGGGTTTATAAACGGGTCGGGTCTTGGGTATTCTAGCCCAACGAAATCTCAAGCAAGCTCCCAAAACTTGCAAAATTAAAACTTTGGCAATGGTAGATGATAAACCCTACAAAAATCACTAGTTTTCAATTGAAGAGAGGGAAAATTCAGGCAAAAATGGCTGAACCCAGAAAGCAAATCTTAGTTTCAACCCTCTGTAAACGCCTTTCTTTAAATCCTGTAAGATTTCCCATTTTATTATAATCAATTTATTTCAGTTTGTTACTTTCAATTTCTGAAGAATTGTGAGTTTTTATGATCTGGGATTTTGATTTTGTGGTTTAATTGATGGTTTTTTTGTTTGTAATGCAGAAAGATTTTTCTGGGGATCTTGAGAAATGTGATGTTAAGAGCTTGTGCACTAATATTTTGAAGTCATCACCAAATGGGTCTTCACTTCTGAACAATGATGAGGTATAAAAAAAAATTACAAGTTTGTTTTAATTTGTATGATCATGGCTGTATAATGTGCAAATTATAGCTGTATATTAAGTACTTTACTGGGTGATATCTCATTTGATGAAAAATTATCTGTTTCTGGGGGTTCTAGACTAGTGGTATGATGATCCTTATACCTTAATTTTAGGCGAGTTTAAGTTGATTGTTCTTGATTCTGTATGAAAAGCAGTGTTGGGAGGGAGGAATTCCTCAATGATTGTGATATTGCAGTTGTAAATTAGTAGTACGCTGTTTCTCTTGTTGTTGGAACAAACTATGTATATGTGGGTCAGTACTCAAATTAGTCCTTTGCTCAAAGTTTTAGCAAGATAACGCGTGCCTTCTTGATAATGCTTGTTAGAACGAGGGGCTAGAGGGCTAGTCCAATCATGTCGTTAATAATGTTGACATTCAAGCTTTTCCATATGTCTTAGTGACAAGCTAATAATACTCTGGTGATGGAGTGCATATATATGTTTCTTGTTTAATATGATTGCATCTTAATCATATTGCCTTCTGTGAGTGCTGCCTTCAACTTTCTTTGGAGCTGTGTAAATCTTTCAGCGATCTATCTTGTTTCATAACATTTTGGATGATTAATGACCTAAATACATTTCGCAGGGAATGAAATGGATAGAATTTGCTGAGAATTTTCCTGTGGATTCTGCTGCTTGCATTGGGGCCATCAATGGCCTGAATGATGAGCTGCTTCTGAAGTCTGTTTTGTTAGGCAATGGCTTGAAATTATCTGAAGCTGACGTGATTGTGTATTCAGTGATCCATCCCTGTGTGGTACGTATGTTTTAGAAAAGCATGTATTCATTGACATGTCGTAGTTTTGGACTGGCAACTCAATGCCTTTTCATTTGTATTGATGTCGTGGATAATAAATATTACCTGTATCTAAATGTTGGAGCTCCACTGTAGTCATGATAGTTGTTATGCATCTATAATTGATGTTTCTAGTGGTTATCATCCCAAATTGGCTGGACGCTGCTCTATTACAATGATAGTTAAACTTTCCACTTTGATTTTAGAATAGGAGGTTGTATGACTAATGAAGTGCATATGCTTGCTGTACTCTTCTTCGCTTGTTAGTCTCTTGATCTTCCTGTCTTCCTCTCTGGTTTTCGTCTTGCTTCTGAAAGTTTCCCTAGTCTCCAAACATATAGTTGTGTGTTATTTCCTTAACCTATCACGAATGATTTCAATATGAGGAGGGATGATGTTTTACTTGTTATTCTGATGGTCATGGACTAGGGTTTTAAAGTCCTTTGAAGGAAGGTGTTTCTACCACTTACATAAATTCTGCCCATTAGCCCTTTCTATTCTTCCTTTTGCAACCTATGTTTTGAGTTTTGTACTGATAGAAGATAGTACTATAAAAATGTTTTGCAGCCCGAATGATTATCTCTGCAATAGCTTGACGTAAAACCTGTTTGTGTTTTGTATCTTTTTTCCAGGTTAACATGTCAAAATCAGACAGGCAGAAGTTCCCAAATGTCTTAAGATGGATGGATTTTTTTCAGGTATTAACACATAATAAGTTCATAAACTTGTCGAAGAATGACCTAGGCTTTTTTGTTTGGCTCCGTGAGATGCATTCTGTAGCAGCAATATGAAAGTAATCAGTTTTTTTTAGCTTATTGTAGCATTAATGTATGTGATCTTACCTTAGAAATTTTGTTCTGATTGCTCAGCTTATGTTATTACTAACACTTGTCAAATTTTCTGCCTTTCCATGTTCACAGAACAAGGAGGATTTCGGAGATATACTTGAGAATATATCTATAGAGAAGCTCATATTTCGACCTCCAGTAAGTGCAGTCTCTTGTGTTTTGAATCTACTTCTTTTTCCTTGTTTGGCTTTATGCGAGTCAGAAACATTGATATTGGTTACTGGTTTGAGTCCCTAAAATTATGGCCATATTAATTTTATATCCTATCAACATCAGCTTATATTATAATTTAAGACTGGAGAAGTTGACGTTGAATTTGAGATAGTTAAAAATTGAATTTGTCAAAGTTAATAAATTGCTATCACGATATGTTCATATGGAATGACATGGGTGTTTCTCAACATATAAAGATTCTGATTTAAAATCATGTTCAGAAATTGCATCAATCAAATAATATGGAAATTGAAATTATATAATGTTTAAATCTATAGAGACACTAAAGGTCATTATCGATATCTACACCAATATAGATGTTAACAATGTTAATGGTTAATTACATAGATTTAAGAATTTCTAGATAACTCTCGCTTTACATTCACATCTTTTTTAAGATGAATGTTTGACTTCTGAAGATGTAACTGATTGTCCAATACCTTTTTTTAGACTCCTCTTATTAAGTATTTGTGTGAATGTCTTTGTATGTTTCTTTGTGCGTAAGCATATGTGTGCATGTGTTGTATTAAATGGGGAATAATATGTAGCCCTTAGTCTGTGGTCTTATAATTTTAAAACATTCCATGTATTTTTTTTGTATCATAGGCTAACATTAAGGAAATTCATGGTTAGCTGAGTATATTACATCTGGGGCTGCTTGATGCAAAAAAAAAGTATGGATCATGAAGTACTACTTCCATTTCACGCTGACCAAATCCTTGCTCTTTAATGGCTGATACCGTTGACCGAGTTTGATTGCTTCATATGCTAAATTGTACATAATTTCTTGTCATTAGGGTTTGTCAACTTTGTTTTCTTATCAGTGAATTCTGCAATAACTGTTTTAATTCATGATGTCATATCAGTGCTGCTTTGTGCCTATGGAAGTATTGGCTACTTTGTAAACTGTAAATTAGAGGGCTATGAAGCTCTTGTTGTTAAATGTTAAATCCATGTTTGCTAAAGCAATTTCTTTAGCCGAAAAGCGTAGTGTTGTATAATATTTGTTAGACATTATGGAAGAAGTTTAGATCCTGATATATACTGTTTAAATAATTATGCAGGCATCTAAGAATGTGCCTTTGGCGGAAGTCAACTCAAGTGAAAAAGATGCTGCCAAAGACACAAAATCTGATGTGAATTTAAAAAAGGTTACTCTTAAAGGGAGAAACACTGTTGATGCTTCTGAAGCAAACAAGGGATCAAAGAAAGATTCTACTCAGGTCTTTTTTCCCCTTTATAATTAAATTTGTCTTGGTTCTTTACTTCTTTGCATGCATAAATTAATGGCTATTATTTCATATCAGCGTGAATTAAATTTATATCTGAAATGCTTCTTTTGTTAAAACAATGTCAATAAGTCTCTGAGAGAACATAAAACATGGGGCCAGTATGCAATTTGATCTCAAATTAGAACGAATTATTTTGAAAGAGGGACTTATGCACTTATCTATCGTCCAAGAATTGTCAATGATACTACTACTAGATTGACATTTTAGTTTTTGCTTGGAGAAGTGAATGTGCAAAGACATCAATTGACACAAATTCTTTCACATATTGACAATATAGAAACCCAGAAACTACAAGGCATCAATGTATTAGGTTATTTGTGTCAGTTTGTGCTGTGCTACGTCAATATTTGCCAGTTGAATAGTAATTTGTGCAATTGGTGCATGCAGTCATTGGTTTTTTATTATTAAATTTAAAAAAAATTCTCTCATGTTAGGGTTAGAAGTCCACAAACTTTTGGTGTGTCATTTCCAAAGTTTGAATCCTTTTGTTAGTGATTGCCATTGTTATATTTCATAAAAGGCTATAAAAAAAATATTTATAGACGATTGGATTATATGTGGTTATGTGAAACAAAAGTAGCCAAAGAAATATACTAGTACTTAAATAGAAGTAAGGGAAGCTATATGTTTACAGGTTTTAACTTATAAAAGACCCACCATAAAGCAGCAGAAGACAAGCAACTTACTAGCATGACCTTCTTGCTGATTTTTGGTTTTCATTTCTTTGAAGTAATAGTGTAGCTACACAAGCTTATTAGTTGTTTCTCCTTAGGTATCCAATTTCGGTGGTTAGTGGACCAGATCAGCCAGACTAGGCTGGGTTAGCCATGGATTAGTTCTGGCTTGATTATTCTTTGCGTCTTTTGTGTTTTCTCTACTTGTCTTGTTTGGTTTTTTGCATAATTCATGACTATGTTCAGCTACAAAGAAAAGTTGCAATATATTGATGATGCGGTAAATGAGTTGATGGTTTTTTATGGTGAGGAAAGTGAATAAAATGTTTAGGTCCTTTTTTATGTACAATATTAAAGTACATCCACCAGCTTGCTGTTTATGCATTAGGAAGAATAAGCAAGGGGATCTGTGAGTGGGAAAGAGGTTTTGTAAATGATTGTATGGCTCTTTTACAGCCGAGCAGCATCTATATCTTCTATACCTAGTTGAATAAATTATGGGTGGTTAACTGGTCATACAGTGTCAAGTGTCAAATCTACTCAAATGGAACCCGGTATGCTGGTATCTCTTTGTACCAGGAACAGTTATGGGAGGAGCAAGAGTTGACAGGGATTATTGCTACACTGGGTTCATTATATCTCAGTTTTGGGTTGTGCTGAATTGTACTATGTTAGTAGTCAGTGAAACGTCTAAGCTGACAGTGACTGTTACTTGTAGTTGAACAAAAGGAATTCTTCAGATATACAACTTACTATATTTGCTAGTCTTCACTAGGGGTATCTGCATCTTTGTGCCAACCTTTGTGCAGGTTGGAACACAAAGGTTGGCACAGAATTGACCATGATTTAAACTGAAAGCCTTGAGAGTGATGCTTATGAGGTTTTACTTTCGTATTATTGGAGCTATTTGAAGGTTGCCTGAATATTGAAGTATAAAATCTAAGATTCCCATTGTCTGAGAGGCTTTGTATTTATATATGTGCTTTGGCATCACACAACTTAATATTAATGTCCCTAAAGGACTCTAGGATCTTTATGGGTATTATCCCCTCCTTTTTTTGCTTTATTAATGTTTCCAACTAACAATCATGTCATTGCTATGCTCCTTTTCTTGAAGAAAAAAGCTAAGGGTGATAAAGCGACTGTGGAGCAGAAAAAACCAGAAGCAGAGGCAGCCCCTAAAGATGAAGTTCCAGTCAGTTTGCTCAATATACAAGTAGGTCTTATTCGCAAAGCATGGAAACATCCTTCAGCTGACAGGTGCTGTAAAAGATTCTGCGTAGATCTCTCAACTATTTTCTAATTTACCCTTGACTTTGGCCTGTAAAACTTCAATTCTTGCTGTTTATTTTCAGAGATTTCTCTGATATAATTTGTTTCTTTTGGTATTTAGTTTACTGGTTGAGGAGATTGATGTTGGAGAGTCCAAAGTGCGGCAGGTAGTCAGTGGTCTGGCAAAGTTTTGCAGTCCAGATGATTTAGTGGTATGTCATTGGTGTATAATATTTTGCCCAATCTCTTTGGTCATATGTATACATATCTTTTGCTGGAAGTTAACATCGACGATCTTTTGCATGCGCAGAATCGGCGTGTGGCATTAATTACTAATGTAAAACCTGGAAAATTAAGAGACGTTGTATCTGAAGGATTAGTAAGCTTTTTTATCCTTCATTTTATTCATTATCTTTTCTCATAGGTCATTAGTTTTATTGTTGTAGAATTTCAATGGCTATGTTTTAACTAGGTCATGATGTTTTCTATGTACGAGAGACAATTTTAACGTTCAGCTTTACCCTTCCCTGTTTTTTTGCTGTTATAGTGAAATGATAAAAAATGATTATAAAAATCAGAATATGAGTGCCATGTCTTGCAGCTGGCACTGACCATCTCTATCCAGTGCTCAGTTGTATGACGAGAGTCACGAAACTGACCCAAACTATACCTGAAACTGGATGACCTGATTTTTTACCTGAACTGAAAATTGAAATGATGATAATTGATTTTTATCCATGATGAGGAAATATACCAAAGATCTGAATACGACACAACCTGAAACAAATGATCCTGTTGCCAATCTGAATTTTGCCACCACAACCCGGTTGCCTCTTGTTTCCAGTTCTATCTAGGCTCAACTGCCTCCTCCTTTATTTTGATTTGGTTACTGAAAGCGAAAAGAAAATTGACAAAATAAACTTCTTGCTTGTTTTAGCTGCCAACTTTTAATAAAGTGTACTGTTTGTCTGGTTATTTAAGAGTCAGACTGCACTGTGATGGCTAGATTTGAAACAGAAAAACTGGCATGTGTACAAGACAACTGACACTAGGTTATCTACTCTAGGATTTCAACCTAAAGCTGAATGTGTGATTTAGATATATGGGGAAAAAGATAGATAAGTTCCGACAAGAAAAAGAAAGATCAGATTTATGGGCTATCAAAGTTCAACTCACATTAAAAAAAAAAAATTAAAAAATCAAAGAATGCTAGAGCGGAAAAAACAAAACTGTAATTAAATCATGTTTTCATTTGTGGGATTGAATTAGAATTTAGGTCCGGTTGAAAAGTTACATGATGTATGATGAGGCAAGTGGTCTTTCTATGTCTGTGACTTCTAGTCTATTAATGGTCATTATAACTTCTATCTATTGCCAGGTTCTTTGTGCATCAAGTGAAGATCATAGTGTTGTTGAGCCTTTGCTTCCTCCAGAAGGAGCTGTAGTTGGGGAGCGTGTTTCCTTTTCAGGGTAAGCATGCCGCTTTGTCTGAATGTCATGTTTCACTTTCTTACCCAGAACACAAACATTTATCGTTGAAGAAAAACATATCTTTGTCCTGAAATCTTAACTCCTCTCTCGCATACCTTTTGTAATAATTGTCTCCTTCCCATCCTCTCTCCACCAGTTCTATCTAAGTAGGGTTATGTGTGTAAATCCAAAAATTATCTATTTTGATTTAAAAATACATACTGGACAATTTGAAACAGTATTGTAGCTAGAGGGAGGGCTTTTTCTTTGTAGAGGAGAACTCAGGCACACAGGAATACAGGGTACCTTAATTGTTAACATAATATCCTTCATATGTTATTTATGTACTAATAGAACCATTGGTTTTACAGGCATGAAGGAAAGCCAGAAGATGTTCTCAACCCTAAGAAGAAACAACTGGACAAGATTACACCGGTATTTAAACTTTTATTAATCTTGTGTATGGTTTGTGGGTCATGAAAAAAGTATATATTTGCTTAATGTAGTATTCGGCCATTTTGTCTGGCTGTTGATAAGCAAGCTAATTGCTACTATGAAGTCCCAACATGTATTCCTTCTGTCCCTTAAACTGTCCAAGAACTATATTAGAAAACCATAGCTAATTGCTAATTATATGTATCATTACGAGTAATGTGGGGAAATACAAAGTTAATCATAAGAAAATAAGTGGCTTTTTAGTTTGGGACGGTCTTAGTTTTGAAGTAGAAATATGGTAGGGTGGTGAGCTGCAGACAAATTTTATCGTCCTGGCTTGATCTCAGTAATTTTTTTCATCTAGTTTCCTCTACTTTTCCCAATTTCACTCCATTTGTATGTTCTGAGTCATAATTTCAAGAAACTTGAATTGCTTTCAGTTATGTTGAGTGGTAGCAGTAGGATAATATTTGCATATGATCTAGGTAAGATGGGTCATAAATTTTATCGGTTCTGCTGGTTTTGCCACTCCTAATTTAATTGCTCTACTGCTGTTTTCCCAAATCACATGCAATAAATGGGATACTGCTATTTATTGTGTTATATACACTCTGTTTTGAATTAGTTTTCACATTGTCACAATCGTGGATAATCAAGGATATCGCATGGGTTATATCCCTTCTCTTACTGTTATAGGCTTATAGCAGTCACATACCCTACTTAAATTTGGTTAGAAGGCAACTTTTCTCAGACGTCCTAGAATAGTCACATGCCCTATCTATATTAGGTTAGATGACAACTTTTTTCAGACATTCTTAAATAGTACGTATGTGTAACTACTTACTATAAGCAGATTGTAATTTCCTAATTTCTTTTGAATTGATGCAGCATCTATACACCGACGAAAATGGAATTGCCACATACAAAGGAATACCGTTTATGACTTCTGGTGGTCCATGCACATCTTCAATCAAGAAAGGAAGCATCAAATGATTATGATCTGGAGAACAATTGTTATGACTTTGTGAGTTACGGAGTAATTAGTGTAAAAACTACATACCTAAAATGTCACATTGTTCTTTCATATTTGCAAGTTTTTAGGGAAGTTGTAGGTTCACGTATCATAATTTTAACATACCATTGTCATGAAATTTTGCAAATTTTGGAAAATCATTTCTCATTGCGATGAGCTTTTCACATTTGATCTCTTATGAAGAGACACTGTCATTTTGACTGAAGTCTAGGGACATACAACGTACTGAATGAGTAAACGTAGTACAAAAACGTACTTTAGAACATTGTGAAAAAAAACCGAGGGAGTGAGTATGTGCTATGAATTCAATGTAGTTTCTAAGTATTTGTGCAAATCTTTACTATTGATCTATCGTAGTGAGAGTGGTTATGAGTCTATCTTGTCAAGTTTTGCTCAACTTAGGGTCTGTTCTGAATGACAGAGTTGAACTGAACTGAACTGAATGTTTATGAGAGAAGAAAATCAAGAACTGAATTGAACTGAAAATAATCTGAAAAGTAGTACCTTACTAATATTTCGAGTCCTTTTGAGTTAGCCTTATACCATGTTGAATAAGTCAACTCCATCCAATTTAAAGTTTCCGGAGTAACAAAACTCTAATTAAACAAACAAAAGAAAGGGAAAGAAAAACAAAAAAAAAACAAAGTTATTAATTGACTTTTACACCATTAATTACTGTAATTTTGACCTTTTATTTCCTTTATTAATATTCTATAAATAACAAATGTGATATCATTGCCCACATATAATTAAATTATTATATTGCTTTCATTAAAAAAAAGAAATAATTAAATTATTAATGACTAAATTAATGTATTAATAAGCTTGAAAATCAAAACATGAAATTTATTTTGAAATGGATAATGCTTTTTGCTGTGAATTTAAGAGTAAAAAATAATTAATGTGCCTTTTGGAGCTCTTTAAAGAGATTATAGTGACAACACTAGAAGGTCAACTCTGACTCAAACTCTGACTTTTGACTTTTGAGTTGCTTGAGTTATCTTCTTATCTTATTGACATCAATACTTGTAGAGTTGTAGTTCCACATGGTATGGAGCCATGGTAGCAGTGTTACACATGCCACAAAGGAAATGACAGTTTTATTGGAGCAGCTTCAATGTAAAACCAACATCTTAAGGGTAAACTTTGTAGTATAATCATGGTTTATCAACTATTAAGCATTGAGTATATAGTCTCCCAAAAGATTATAGATATACCCTTTGTCCACATATAAAGATTGTGCTCGATTGCTGATGTTGAATTTGTGCCAAATCTTAAAATTGATGTACATGTACGATTGATGGTTCACTGATGTACTTCTCATGTCATATGAGAGTTTGTGATGAGCACATGTCAAGTCGACCATTTTTATGTCATACCTAACCGGCTTTCGTGTCGGCCTGACCAATATCCATTAAATAATTTATAAGTGAAAAATAGTTGTGGGCTTGTGGTCTACAATAGATACTTTGTAGTGCATAAAATCAAAATGGTGCATAATATTATGACACGAAATGAATACCCCCGTTTCGCAATAATTGTAACACTTTGACTTGTCAATATTCATATTTTCATTATATTAGTTTTTTATATTTATTAATAGTATACTTTTACTAAATCTATTTAGTTAATACGTTCAATTTAGACACACATGCTAAGGAGTGGATAGTGAGTGAGAGAAAATGATAAAGTAAAAAACTTACCAAAAAAAAACATGTCAACTAAAAAACGGAGGTAAGTATCAGTGTTTCATACGGAGTAGTTCTTAATAATACTATATAATTACATATATTAATGATCAAAGTTGTACATTAATATTTGTACCGATCAAAATTTTACAATTACTACAAAACGTTATTTACACCCACATCCTAGAACCCTAGGTATTGAGCTACTCCTACTACCAGTACTAGTAGCACGCAAAGGAGATTTAATGATCGTACAAGGTATAGAGAAATGGAGGCAGGGGTGGCTACAAATATCCAAAGATCTTCATTAAAAAGCTCCCACATAGATTTCCTCGAATAATGGACAAAATCTTCTATTTTAAGTTTGTGTACAACAGTGTCAACTTTGGTTTTCACATTGGCTTCCAACACCGCCAATAAACTTGGATCATTGATGGCTCCCAAAACACATCCAAACCTAAACATTGATAATACCATTTTCATCTTTTACCAATAAAATATGGCAAAATCTAATGTATGCCCATAAGATAATTAAAAGTAAAGATATTAACTTCAAATAAATATTAATTATATTGATTGACGTGTGATTTTAGCATGCATTTTCAAATAAGGTAAGTTTATCCCCAATACTGAAACTTATATTTCAGACTCTGCCACATCAGATTTTCACTAACTTTTAATTACTTTTTTATTATTCAGACTCATGCAAGACTTTCTCCAATTTCACACATTATTCCAAAACCCACTCCAGATTTACTTATCCAGTTAATATTTATAACATTAATTTATTTATTTATTTATTAATTATTTTAATATGGTGAGTTGGCAACTCACTATTGGACAACATAATTATTTTTGTCCATTTGTATAGTCTCAAGATGGGTTTTAGAATCCAAAACTCATCTCAAGACTATATGTAGTCTTGATAGAGATTATTGCTAGAATCTTGCTCAAAACTTGTCTAAAGACTCATGTTAAGACTAGGGATAAACTTACCCAGGCTCTATTTAGTCCGCCTTATATTTGTTTATCTGAATTATCTGATCTGGTCTGTTCTGGTCTGGTCTAAATGTCAGATTTGACCAAACTTTGACCTTACATATATGATAATCTATACAGAAAAATATATCAAGTGGGGTCTTGTTAGATTCGTAATAATGTGTATTTTATTAATATGTGATATTTAGAATTTTTTTCATTACGAAATTAAAGATATTTAGCGATAACAAACTGCACATTAAACGATGATTTGAACTTAATTTTTTCTGATCTGAACTTATTTTTTCTGAAATAAGTAAAACTAAGGTGAACTAAACAAGGCCTAAATACAATACTCCCTCCGTCCCCGAATGATAGTCACTTTTGGGTGAAAATCACGGTAATTAAGGTGAAATAAATAAAGTACATGGGAACTAAAACTCAATCATGTGCAAAACAAAAGGAAGAGAGAGAAACTGATTGTCATTAAAAAGGGAGACAACTCATTCAATTAAAGCACAAGTATAAAGGCAAATATGAGGGTATTTTGGGAAGCACAGATAATACAGCCAAAAAAAATGAGGGTATATAGGTCATTTTGTGCTATTGTATGGTACCTAAAATTGTGAAATGTGACTAACATTTTGGGTGTACCAAAATGGAAATAGTGACCATCATTCGGGGACGGAGGGAGTATTAGAAAATATTTTAAAGGGTTATCTAACGTCCTGGAGGTGTTTATTAGCAAGATCAAAAAATTAATACTAATAATGCTACATGTATCCCGTAGGGATACACATAGCTACACATAAGCATTATATGTCTTTCCTTATTTGGTATTAGTTTAGGAATGCAGGACAAAAACACGCGTAAATTAGTGTAAATTAATAAAGAGATTTCACTAATTATTTACACTTTTATTAGCTTCTTATACATAGCTTTTAGGGCTATGCATAACATTTTCCTTTATTCTATCCCATGTTGTGTCAATTATTATGCTGGAAGTGGGTATATGACTACATGTTACAATAATCTTGAGTTTTGTTAAAATTTTAATTACTCTATAATTTTTTATTATTTTTGTACAGATAAGGGCCTGTACTGTTCTCTTACATTGAAATTCAGTACAGTTTAGTTCAGTTCAGTTCAGGTCAGTTCACCTCCTAATTTCCTTCTCTTATAAAATATTCAGTTCAATTCAGTTCAGTCAATAAGAACAGGCCCTAATTACTCTACAAAATTTAATAGTACATGTTATCCCAGATTGTAAAAAATTTAATTTAAAACTATATGACATATATGAATATTTGTATACTATCCAACTTTGTAAGAGGTTAAGAAGAAAAAATATTCATAATTGTAATAAATAATTGTTGTCTTCTTTTCATAATTGTAATATATATATAGGGTGTTGTTATTTGTTGCTTCCATTTTACCGGGTAACGCTCCCTTTTTGTCTTGAAATTCCAATTTTACCCCTAATATATAAATACGGTTTTTTCCTTCCCGATCAACATTTCTCACTTTCTTACTTCTCTCTCTAAATCTCTTACTCTCCAACTCTCTTACTCTCTAACTCTCTAAAACACTCTATTTAAAAAAAAATCAAAAAATTTTCTTCATTTTTAAAAAAAACAAAAATCATCATAAACACAAAAAAAAAGGGTGATTCGAGGCGGATTAGGCTGAGATTCGGAGGGAGGAGCTTCGGCGGCGCTGGTGGCAGCGGCGGAGGCGGCGGCGGCGAAGAGGTAATTTTTTTTTTTTAATTTCGGATCCCAGGAACTTCCGCCCAAAAATTCCGGAAGTTCCATGGAGGATCCGCCTGGAAATTCCGGATCCTCCATGGAACATCCGGAATTTTTGGGCGGAAGTGACATCCGCCCAGAAAATCCGGATGTTCCATGGAGGATCCGGAAATTCCAGGCGGATCCTCCATGGAACTTCCGGATTTTTTGGGCGGAAGTTCCTTTTTTTTTTTTTTTTTTTTGCCCGTTAATAAAATTGTTAATTTAAATTTTTTTTTTCGGATTTTGTTTTTTTTTTTGTTATTTAGAAGTGTTATGGTGATTATTGTTATTATTATTGTTGTTGTTGTTATTATGGTTAGTATATTTTGTAATGTAATTATTTTTAAAAATATGATAATTTTTATTATTTTGTTGATATTAGGTTTTTATTATTAATGTTAAGGTTATTGTTGTTGTTGTTAATTTGTTTTTTTTTTGGATTTTGTTATTTTTGTTGTTATTTTGAAGTGTTATGGTTAGTATTATTATTATAGTTATTATTATTGTTGATATTATTATTATTATTATTATTATTATTGTTATTATTATTATTATTATTATTATTATTATTATTATTATTATTATAATTAGTGTTATTATTTTTAAAAATATGATTAGTATTATTATTAAACTAATTTGATATTAGGGTTTTTATGGTTATTGTTGTTGTTTAATTTTTTTTTTGTTGTTGTTGTTTTTATTTTAATATTATTATTATTGTTATTAGTAGTACTATTATTAATATTTTT